TTTATTTATTTATTTATTTATTTATTTATTTATTTATTTATTTATTTATTTATTTATTTATTTATTTATTTATTTATTTATTTATTTATTTATTTATTTTTTATTTATTTATTTGCTTATTTATTTGTTTACTATTGCACTCGAGGTGCGCCTAATAACAATCACGGACAAGATCTGTTCGAATGCAGACTTGACTGCTACAACCCGAAACTAAAGTAAGCATTATATGAATTATTATAATTATTATAATTAACAATTATATGGTATTTCAGGAACCTTGTACACAAGGAAACGTCGGTAGTGCTCTTTTCCTACTTTTTTCGGGCTTTCGGTAGAATTGGAAACTTCCTCTTTCATTACTTCCTATACATACTTTGTTTCTTCCCTCGCTTTCGTAGAGCTCAATTTACGGAGCCCACTCCAATCTTTCGAACCCTTTTTTGCCTATTTCCCTCCTCTTTTTCCCCTTTGAAAGGCATCGTGCCATCTTGCCTTCCAAATTTTGCGCTTCTGCACCTGCAAAGGGCACCGCCTTGCAGGATAATTAGGTCAAGTCAAGTATACCATATATTATAATGAAGTCATTCAAATTTTCATTTAAATTGGGCCTTGCATTTATTGCTTATAATTGCTGTGATGATGAGAATAATGATGGCAACCTATCCGTTGAAGAAGACCTCCAACGAGACAAAAGCAGGTCATTGAAGCCTCCTGAGCAAGTGGCGATTCCATACTTACTCATGAGGGCTCTTTCGTGAACTCTGCAGCAATTTTATGACCACAACTCGCCATTCTACAAGAAAATCATGGCCGACGTGAAAGGAGGATTCGCAGGGCCACACCATCTCGCCCACATTCTTCAACGTCGCTCTCGAGAACGTCGCTCTCGAGAACGTACGAGTCGGCTGAAACGGGAAGACGGTGGAGTGAATGTCGACGGCCGGAACATCCATCTCCGCTTTGCTGACGACATCGTTTAGCCCTAGTATGGCAAGATAGGGGCCACCTTTCGAGGATCTAAGGCGGAAGTGGACAGAAAGCTTGGGGGACAATACATCGGCTCTACACTCTAGGCGCCCTTCGCTCCTCCTGTAGACCTTCCTTGGTTTTGAAGGAGATTTTTTGCGCGGTTTTGGAAGCATGCCACTAAAATGCTCCCGTATATCAAGATAGCACTCATCGTTCTCATAACAACGAGCATCGAGCAAGGAGAGCGAATGCTGGCTGATTTCGACTGCGCCTGTGGTAAGGTCGGTCTACAGCTGAACCTAACGAAGACGATGTTTATGAGAAACGGATTGGTTCCTGATGCCCCATTCACGCTCAACGGAACTACGTGTACCTAGGTCGGGAAATCAATATGATGAACGATCTAGCTCCAGAGCTGAGCAGGAGGAAACGAGCGGCATGGGGAGCGTTTAAGAACATCGAGGGAGTAGTGAAGAAGACGAAGAACATCCGGCTCCGTGCCCACCTCTTCGATTCCGCAGTCCTTCCTGCCCTAACCTACGCCTCAGAGACTTGGACTCTGCGCAGGCAGGACGAGCATGC